GCTATTTTTGTGTCTAATGTACCTGTAATAATAATAATAATAATAATAATAATAATAATAATAATATTTATACCCCACCCATCTGGCTGGGCTTCCCCGCTACTCTGGGCAGCTTCCAAAAAATATATTAAAATACTGTAATACATCAAACATTAAAAGCTTCCCTAAACAGGGCTGCCTTCAGATGTCTTCTAAAAGTCTGGTAGTTGTTGTTCTCTTTGAGATCTGGTGGGAGGGCGTTCTACAGGGAGGGTGCCACTACCAAGAAGGCCCTCTGCCTGGTTCCCTGTAACTTGGCTTCTCGCAGTGAGGGAACTGCCAGAAGGCCCTCAGAGCTGGACCTCAGTGTCCGGACAGAACGATGGGGGTGGAGATGCTCCTTCAGATATACTGGACCAAGGCCGTTTAGGGCTTTAAAGATCAGCACCAACACTTTGAATTGTGCTCGGAAACGTACTGGGAGCAAATGTAGGTCTTTCAAGACCGGTGTTATGTGGTCCCGGCGGCCGCTCCCAGTCATCAGTTTAGCTGCCGCATTCTGGATTAGTTGTAGTTTCCGGGTCACCTTCAAAGGTAGCCCCACGTAGAGCGCATTGCGGTAGTCCAAGCGGGAGATAACCAGAGCATGCACCACTCTGGCGAGGCAGTCCGCAGGCAGATAGGGTCTCAGCCTGCGTACCAGATGGAGCTGGTAAACAGCTGCCCTGGACACAGATTTGACCTGTGCCTCCATGGACAGCTGCGAGTCCAAAATGACTCCCAGGCTGCGCACCTGGTCCTTCAGGGGCACAGTTACCCCATTCAGGACCAGGGAATCCTCCACATCCCAGTGGCGTAGCGTGGGTTGTCAGCACCCGGGGCAAGGCAAGTAATTTGCGCCCCCTAACCCGTGGATTTGCGCCCCCTAACCCGTGGATTTGCGCCCCCTAACCTATGGATTTGCCCTAACCCCAGATGTTGCGCCCGGTGCGGCCGGCCCCCCCCTGCACCCCACGCTACGCCACTGTCCACACCTGCCCGCCTCCTGTCCCCCAAAAACAGTACTTCTGTCTTGTCAGGATTCAACCTCAATCTGTTAGCCGCCATCCAACCTCCAACCGCCTCCAGGCATTCATTATTGTAATAATAACAGATTGCAGAGAGGAGGCCGGTAATAATTTAAAATAAACCTAGCAGTTTCACCTTTTGTGTTTTTCATCCCCCCCCCCCGCAAGACACCTGTTTTGGAAAATGGAACTTAGCAGTTTGGGGGAGAGGAGTGCAAGTAGGGAGGCATGCCTAGGGCACAAAATAGAATGGCCAGCACATGGCCAACAAACACAAAAAGGAAAAACACCAATGGGGTACATGCCAGCTGGGTAAGCACAGCTTCTACTGAGAGTTCCTCACCCAAGCTGAGAAGGGCTCCTGTGCTCTTCTGTGCAATGCTGAATGCAACACTGTCCATCTTCTGTGACATTGAGGCACGTGCCAGAGGCACTGATGACAGAGAAGTAGCTGGTGAGTAGTTGCTTGACCGAGAGGGAGAAGACAGCAGAACAGGGGACTCCTGCAGCTCCTCCCAAACACACTCCCACCATCCAACTATACATTCAAGTTCCTGAGATGGCTTCTGCAGGTTGAGGTGAGTCAAATCTATGCACGGTATTGACACACACAGGGGAGAGAAAAAGTTTAAAGATTCTGTCCCACGACTAGTAGGGCTGGGCGATATATCGTCCATATCATAATTCCGGTTTCATCATATTTGACCTGGCATCATATTTGACCTGGCAATATATTGCGAATCATAAACATGCCTTATGGCATAGTGAGGAAGGTTTAATCCTTAAACTTACGTGAAATACATTCCTCAGCTATAATCTAGCATGCCAGGAATAAAGCAGGAATTTCCTAGCTGCTCCTGAGCCACAAGAAGACTGAGCTGCTGGCCACAGCAGCAACTGCTCTGCAGAATTCTCAGGTCAGTTACAGTCCAGTTAGAATCCTGACAACAAGACGTATCATAACTCCAGGGTACTGGTCCTTTGGAACATCAGGAAAGTGGGAAACTGGAGGGAACTCAGTTCTATTCCAGGACACTCTCAGTTAAAACACGTTCTTCCTGAAGTCAGATTCAGAGCAGTTCCAATAGTAAAAAATGGTTCTCTGTGTATCTCAGTACAGATTTGTTTTCCGGTCCTGAATGCATTTCATAAAGGATCTCCATCTACAAGAGAGGCTAATGGCATTAGGCCCTAAACAGTAAGAATTTCCTTGGCAAAATTATGGAAGAGCCCTTACAAACCTATCATTATTCTTCCCCATAACATCTTGTTTGGACATTGTAATAAGGGAGAAGATCTTAGCTCTTTTCCTTTGCACTGGGACCACATGAAATTTGTGCCATGGGACTGCATCACTCACACCAATACAGGCAGCACAATTTTCAGAACCAAGGTTTCCATGATTTCTAAGACAATTAAGTCAAAATATTTGCTTTATTTCCATTCATTTCTGTGTTGATGCCGGGAAAGAAGACGAGGGAAAGAAGGCCACATGACGTGGCGTGGCCCACCCCAGCAGCCCAATACCCACCTTTCCCACATACTGTGATACCTCAGGTTACAGACGCTTCAGGCTACAGGCGCTTCAAGTTACAGACTCCGCTAACCCAGAAATAGTACCTTGGGTTAAAAACTTTGCTTCAGGATGAGAACTGAAATCGTGCTCCGGCGGCGCGCCGGCAGCAGGAGGCCCCATTAGCTAAAGTGGTGCTTCAGGTTAAGAACAGTTTCAGGTTAAGAACGGACCTCCAGAACGAATTAAGTTCTTAACCCGAGGTACCACTGTATTGTAGAAGTCAGCAATGGACTGGGATTGGAGGCAAACAAACTTTCTCCAGAGACGAGGGCTGTTCCTAATCAAGTAGAATATAGATATGGAAATAGTAGTTCATCCTGTCTTAAGGTTGGTAGTGCTTGCCTTGAAAACTCAACTCGGCAGGTGGTTTTGGATTCACCCTTGAGTCTGGATGCCCAGGTGACAGCCATAGCCAGGAGTGTTTCTGCATGGTTTAGGCTACGCCCATTCCTGGGAAATGCAGATCCGGTTGCAATGACACACACATTTATTCATCCATATTACTATTAATTTTCTACACTGCTATACTGCCCTCCATCCAAGGATCACATGGCGGTTTACAATATAGAAACACAAAAAATACGTAACATAACAACTAAACAAAACAGTAACCCCACCAAGTTAAAAAGGCTATAGATTGTTTAGCCAAATTTCATGATGTTCCACCTTGTGGCACTTTCAGTTTGTTGTAATAATGTTAGCATTTGTAAACTGATGTCTTAATTTACTTTATTTTACCTTATTTGTTGGGATCTGTGGTTTTGCTGTTTAAGTGCTTTAACTAAAAGTATTCTTTTTAAAAAGGCACACATCTGTTGCCTGATAGATGTGGTTTTCATTTTTCACAATCTTGCTTTTCTGGCATCCCTCTCTCCTCAAAATAAATGCCCATATGGTGTGGGCATTCTTTTTTGCCTCTTGGAAGATTTTTTTTTAGGACCTCTATTAGAATTATGTCTGCATCTACACGTGTGCAGTCATATGCACTAAATTCACTTTCATTCCATCTCCCTGAACTACAGTCTAGCTAAAGCCCAAGGCTGTGCAGGGATGGATAGTGAACTGATAGCCCTTCAGATGTCATCAGACTCCAAACCCCATCAACCCCAGCCAGCATGGCCCATAGTCAGGGATGATGGGAATTGCAGTCCAACAACAGTTTAATCTGGACTACAGCAGAGTTACTATGCATTTCCTTTGCTGAAACCACTTTAGTGGCTCCTAGTTCTTTTCTGGGCACTGTTCAAAGCGCTGCTTATGATGTTTAAAGCCCTGAAAAGCTTGGGACTGGCTTAACTGAAGGACTGCCATGTTCATTATGAACCAGCTAGCTAGTGGAATCAATGGAGCTTTCTGCATGTATCATCAGACATCAGGCACCTCCACCTAGTGGCGCAGCAATAAAACTGCTAGCAAATTTGCAAAGCTAAACAGGGTCCGGTATAGTTTCAAATTGGATGGCAGGCATGTTGAGATTCCTGCATGGAATCCCTTCCAATTCTACAATTCTAATGGATCTTGATTTTAAAGCATTTCTATCCCATCCTTCTCCAAAAGGATGGTCCACTATGCTCTGTTCCTCCAGCCACAGGGTTAACTCTCCTTTTGAAGCTAAAAACAAAACAAAACAAAACTGCAGGCTGTTTTAATCTTTCTTCTGGTCGATCCTTCTGATATTATCGGTACCGAAGCTGCTCCACATGGAATTTTAAAATCTCTTATTTTTGTTCTTCTGCCACTTGACTGTGAATTCTCAGCCGTTTTCTCATAATGCTGCTGATGATAATGTCTTTATTGCTTTAATACGGTTCTTAAGGTTTTTTTTAATGGAACGGTAGATGATTTTTAAAAACATCAATCACTCCCAATCCTATACATGTTTACTCAGAAGTTAGTCTCAATGAGTCCAGTTGAGCATTGGATTGCAGTCTAAATTAAATTAATCGGTCAGCTGTTACTCAGGGGGACCAATATTTATCCCATTTAGCTAACTAAATAATTTCATTTATCTACAGGCATTGTCCTATATTTGACTCTTTCTCCCTCTAGTGTCTACCCTGTAGCATTATTCCACACTGGGGGGGGAGAGAACCTTAACATAGCATAGCACAAAATATGGGAAATCTCACGTTATTCCACAATTGGGGGGTGGGGGAGAATCACACAACTTGGCTTTATATCCCCCCCATCCTTTCTTTTTGGAAGCTGAATTTGGTAAGGATTCTAAACTTAAATGGATCTGAACTGGGAAAAGGTCATGATAATCAACTCAGACACCATCACCAAAACGGTATGCACATTCCTCTATGAAAAGCAGGTTATGTATATTTGAACCTTATGTAGGTAACATATTAAAATTAATAAATTACTTGTTACACTGAAACACAATATTCAGTTTATTTCCCTCGGTCAAGCATGATGTTATACTCAAGCAGCAAGAAAGAAATCTCTATATGCTTTTTACTCAGGGTTGAAAACTTAAAGGGGGACACAGGAGAAATCGGAAAGACTTTATTTCCTCCCACAATACAAAAAAGCTCTAAAAGCTGCAGTGACCCATAAGATGGAAAAAGGAATCCTTCACTTATGGGTGCCAGAGGCAAGACATTAGCACCAGGTTTTCTCTCTCTCTCTCTCTTACAAAGCAACAAAAACGCTATTTATAGAAATATATACAGCAGTAGGGAGAATCTCACTCCTGGTCCCTTCCGGAGAGCCTGCCAGCAACAATAAAGAACAAAGGAAGAAGCAAGGGGAGTGATTAAATATCACATTATGAAAAGGATAATATATAATGATACATCTATTTCCATATTGCTATCTTCATAAGAATATGATTTAACTCAAAGTACTGTGCGCACACATACTGAAATTATATTTGGAGTTCACATACACAATCAGAATCACAGTCTCTTTTTTTAAAAAAAGAGTGACATGTAAAAGCTCACAGCTGACTGAAGTACAAATAATCATTTATCTTAGCTTGGCTTTATTTAAGGATCAGGTAAAAGATTCCAAGACAAAATGGATCTGTTTCTCTAATATTGGTTGGATGTAGCAGCATCTGATGATGTTGGTAACTCGTCAGATGTCTTCTAAACGGTATAGACAAACTTGGGACCCATTAGTACAGCAGAGGGTTAAAGGAATGACCCTGGTGCAGGCTAGTGGCCTATGGTGTGTGAAATAGCACTGATAACTCAGGGAAAAGCCCCCTTCTAGGATTTGTCTTTGAAATACGTGATTACATAGAAGTGATTATGCCAAGACCCTGTACAGTCAACCATTGCTTATATTTACGACTGCATTTTACCTGAATGTTGAGAACCGTAGAAGGGGAATATTTTGCCTACACTCAAATCAAGCGGCAAGTGTCAAGAGAATTCTTTTTTCGTAATGTTTAAATTAGTTCCCCTTGTCAGGGGAGTTGAAGATTTAAGTGCTGAGTAAATCATTTTCTCAGTATAAGTTAAAAACAGCCTATAAACAAGTATGATTTCCCTTTATCCGTCAGATATGTACATTAATGCGAGGGAACACTTACTGTGCAGATTAGTACATCAGTATTTGTTATACCACCATTCTTGTTTTGTAAAGGACAGTTTAGTGGGACTTTTTATAGATAGATGTTTTTCCATTGATGGCAGTGTTAATGCATCACTCCTTGTGGAAGTTGAAGTCCCATAGTGGCAGGGATATTTGTTAATATGAAAATGGGAACACACTCACGTAATAACAGTGAACGTTTCCAATGTACTTCAGTAAAATGGATATCATGCTTCTTGTTGAGGCATGAAAAAGCTGGACAAACAGCAGTCCTAGGCACGAAGGACATGATAAAATTAAAAAAACCACACAGTTAGCTTTGTGCAAATGAAAGATATACAGAATGATCTTCTATTTTGTAGTTCGATTCACTGAATCCCTGGCAAATGGCACCAAGCATAGTGTAGCAGAAGTTCTGCCTTTTATTTACAGACCTGTGCATATTATAGTCAGACCCTTAGTTACACTTCATTCATATAAGACAGCTGAGCTGAATGAAATTATTGCCTTTGTGCTGTGGAGAAGATGATAATTAATGAACTGAACAAGACTGGCTAAAATTCTCCAACTTTATCTTCAAATGGAAAATAATAATAATGGCAAGTTCCACCCCACCGAGACATTAAAAACCATGTACAGTCACACAGTTTCCTGGTGTGTTTGAAAGTAGCTTATTATAGGTTGTTCCAAGGTCTACTCATCCAAACAGTATTGACATAATTTTTTTGGAAAGGCAGAGCTTATGCAACACTTCTTCAAAACAGCACTTGCCGGTGGAATCTTGCGAGTATTTACTCAGAAGTAAGTCCCACTTTGCTCAATGGGGCCTACTCCCAGGTAAGTGTGCATAGGATTGAAGATCAAATGTGCAAACGTCACTATATCTCACCAACCTGAATACAACACTAGACAGGTAACATGTTTAAATCTGTTCTGTCTGTTTGATATGGCTGTATCCTGCTCCCTCCCAAAAAGTCTCCTAAAATCCTCATTGTTAAGTTTTTGAGGGCTCCACAGCAACCTATATGAATCTGAAAAGAAACCACACACATTTTTTTCTTCGTTAAAAAAAAAGAAAGAACTGCACTCATGCACAACTGCAGCAGATTCCTGAATATACTGAATCTGAAGCACAGAATCTAATGTCTGGAGAGGTTCCTAAGGCTGTGTGATGAAGGAAAGCCAGAGAGGCTTTGAAATGTTTCTAGAAATGCAAATAACCCCACACAGAAACAATTCCCCTCCCCCTGAATATTATTGCTATTATGACTTATTGTTGTTGTTTCTTCTGAGCAGCTCCTCCTAGTGAACGGAGGAGTTCTATACTTCTAAACCCACGTTGTTTTGATTTCCAAGGTCCTTGGGTGAATGTCATTTGGGCCTGTCAGGTTGAAGGCTATCAGTCAGACACTTCAGCTGCTCCTCCCCAAGTTTGATTTTGTCCTCCAGCTCTCGCTGTTCGATTATGAGGGCTGACTTCATTTTGACAAAATGCTCATAATCGGCAAGGCTCTCGTCGCTCAGGTAGTTGGCCAAAATGTCAAAGACAATGCGTTCCCTTCGGTCCAGGTTCTCCTTCAGTTCCTTTGCGTCTTCGTGCTGCTGTGTGAGCAGCTTCTTCTTCTCCACCAGGATCCGCTTGAGGGGGAGAGAGCAAAACCATTCCAGATCATTTCAGGTGTAATTTGGCAGGTAAGTCAGCCTGATCTCACTGCTACGTGGTTGTAATAAAATCTGCTAAGAAACCTACTCACTGAGAGCTTATAGAGAGAGCATAGTACAGATATGAAATGTGCACGATTACAAAGATGGCATCAACAGGATTTGAAAAACCCATTTAAAAACAAAACACCACCACCACCCTCCTTACCCCTAAGCTTAGAGAAATACCCAGTTCTTCTCTCTTTTGCACACATATTTACTTGTGCAAAATCATGAGGCTTTCAGGGGGGGAAAAACAGAGGAAGTACTGATGGGTTTATAAACGTCAATTAAACAAACTGTAATCAACTTGAGCCCCTTATATTGCGGGAAGAAAAACTGGGGAGGCCAGCAATAGGATAGTAATATAGGCTGTGGTTGTGGAACAGAGAAGGGCCGAAAGGTGATGCTCACAGGATCACAAGAGAGATCAAAGAAAGGCAAGGCAGAATGGAACAAGTTTTAGGAGCTATATAGAAACACAGGCTTTTAGTTTTCGGTTTTAGTTCCTTGAGTCACATGGTGAACATTTTAATTTCCTTGCTATAAAGGAAGAATGCTAGTAAAATCTAAGCGCATCTCATAGGCAAACTGCAGAGCGCCTTCTAGAACATCATTATATTCACCAAGACATTTTGAAACTTGGAATGATTCTTCTATGTCTCAGCTTGTCTCAAAATCTTGGAATCGCTACCTCTCTGCCACATGTGTCTTTTTTGTGATCTTTGGCTAGCTTTCTTGCTTTGGATATCCTTGTCGGGGGTTTTTTGTTTTGGAAAACTTAAGGTCAGCTATTGTCACTGAATAAATCTACTTGCCATCAAGAGAGCAACATCAGACAGGAGCTCTTTTAAGAAACACAAGACACTGCGTCTTACCCGCTCTTCAGGAGAGGCACTTTCATCCAAGTTGTTTAGTGCATTTTCTACTCGGGCCAGACGGCCAGAGAGTGACAGCAGGAGGTTGACTACTTTATCCAGGTCCCCAATAAACATCCGGAACTTGTCAAACTCATTGGATTTGCAGACCTCTTTGACAATGGCCTCCACTTCATCTCCAAGCATGTTGTTGGCCTGAATGTCTTCCAGGAGTGTCTCACGAGCTTCCCGCAACACTTGCAGCTTTCGACTTATGCTATCTATAAGTTCTTGCTAAGGAAAAGAAAAAAAAAAAGGGGGGGGAGAGTAAGCTCAATTTATTTGGCATAACGGACGCAATCACAATTGAACCTCCCCAGCCCCATTTCACTCCAAAATACTCTTAAGGACACAGCCATACTATATTTTTAGAGCAGTATCATAACAATTTGAACAGCCATGGCTTTCCCAAAGAATCCTGGAAACTGTAGTTCATTAAGGGAACTGAGAGTTCTTTGGAGACCCGTTTCCCTCACAGCACTACAATTCCCAGAGTGCTTTAATAACCAATCCCTCTCCCACTCTTGCAATGTGTCCTACATGCTTCCTTTTGAGGAAATTTGCAAAAGTGAAGAGTCAGGTGTAGCAATTCCAATGCCTCCAGCTCCTACTTGTAAGAAAGTTGTTTAGATTCTACATCCAAGGCGTCACACGCATATTTCAGTTATTCTTGCATAAGTTGCATTGTTGGTTAGTAAAAAAAAGCAATTGTCTTCTTTGTCAAGACACAAGACCACACCAACAGGTTCCCTTGGTTTCACTGCCAACTTCACATTTTTGACATGATATCATCTTCAGACTTACTTCAGACATACCCACAATCACCTGGAGCAGGGAGTTGTTTTCCCATGCGGCAATCCCATGAAGGTGGGAGCTGCATCTGGCTGGCACACCAGATGGAGGGAGAGATGCAGATCCCACCCAGGAGGGCTTGCTTCATGGAAAACGCCCACCACCCCCAGCCCGGCTGCAGATACATCTGAAGGACTTCACCTGCGTTAAAAAAATGCTGCATATGTAGGTGCATCTAGGCACACTCCCAGGTTCCTCATTACTGGAGGGGAGAGGGTGCATTAAGAACCCAAACTGGAGGAGAGCTGTGTTTCTGGTTGCAAAAGCTTGAATGAACAACCTTTGCACTTGGCCCGAAGGAACACCCATTTAAGCAGAGAATACGTATCTCATTGCCTAGGATAAGCAATAATGTAAACAGCAGTTGAGCCAGGCCCTCAGAAGGGCCTTACTGTTTTGCCAGAGGAAAAGCCCCAGCCAATTATGAGGCAAGCCTCCCTTTTTATGAGCCCCAGAATAAAGGAGCTGAGAGACTTTAGGGCTGTGTTCTCTCAGACCTGGCTTGGTTCAGGGAAACCCATAAATCTACATTCAATCAAGATTTTGAAATCTAACCAGAACTGGTTTATTATGAAATGGCAGTGTTCTGTGTTTGTGTGTGTAGGTGTCGAGATACCTACATCAGATAAATAGATTGTTATCTCCAGATATGAACTTGTACTGTATGGACCATGTTTCTGCTGCGCAGTGTTGCTGCATGTCTTGGCCACCATGTTGCGTTGTGAAGTTGGCTTGTCCAATACAAAAGCCAACTGCTGTTCAGTCAATTGCTCCTCCTGACATATGAGTGAAGTGAGGCAAGGACTCCTAACATTACCAACTCCCTTCTGTATTTAGGGAGGGGAACACAGCTCAGCACAGAGCTACATTCCTTACATCCAGGAGGTCCCAGACTCAGCTCCTGGTGTCTCCGGTTTAAAATGTCGTAAGGAGTGTGAGCAAAGCAATCTCTGCACCCAGTTCCAAGAACCTGCCATTCTGAGTAGACAGAGATGCACTATATAGAATAATAGACTGATTGGACATAAATAAGGTAGCTTCCTGTGCTCATACATGGCATATCTGTTTAATTGAAACCTTACTTCCCTGCCCACTCTCCAGCTGGTTGTCCTATAGCTTTCATTCCATCTGAGAGAAACCTTCACCATCCATCTTTTGTGAGTTGTGATGACAGCTTGCCAGCTCCTGTGCTGTCACACAGCTTCTGGCCTGGCCACATTTGCTGGCTGCAGTGGAGATCTACTAGACGGCTCTAGCAGCATGGATTTCAACAGCATGGGTTGGTTTTTAAAAAAGAAATGCAATCTTACCTTCTTCTCAGATAAATCATGGTCTAGCTCATCCTCAGAATCCTCACTTTGCTGCTGCTGCTGTTGCTGCTGCATGTCCTTCATTTTGTTCAGCAGTTCTGCCTTGGGTGCAGATGTGCTGTAGTAAGTGGAATTGGTTGTCAAGGGGATAGCTGAAGGCAGGGGCTGCTCCTCTTTCCTAAGCGAAGGTGAAAAAAAGAGCAACACCCAATTTTAATTCGCTTCCTGACATTCTGCACATTGAAAGGAGGGCAGTAATCATTTCGAAACACTGTTTGCAGCAAGTAAATTGTAGGGCTTCGAGAAAGGCTCTTTCACCCTGGGGCTATTGCAGGGGCTAATGTCTCGCATGAAATAACCATATCATTCTGGCACTCTCAGACCCTAGCTAAAGAGACGGGCAATTAAAAGAAACTGCCAAAATCATTGCCTGAAAATGCTGATTTCCATTTTGCCCCTTAATTGATGCTCCCTTGTCAGTGTTTAGATTTCCACACTGTATCCTTGATTATATGGCCAGTGGCAGGAAGGTAATGTTTAAACCTCTTTGGGGCTCTCATTAGCCCCGACTATATAATCCCATAAGCATAACTTTTAGTGAAAAACACAGCTGCTCTTGTTTCATTATCCACAGTTCTAATGCTTAAATTGCAAGCCTTAAAAGGGTCCTGCTACTGAACGCAACCTTTTGGAAAAGCTATTTCATTGCCATTTTGAAAATAAGATAGGGAAGGCACTATGAGCGGGTTTGCGCAAAATGCTAAGCTAATGCAAACCTCAGCGAGGTGATGTGAATGTGCAGGCTCTGTGCTCCTCCCTAGTCCTTTTTGCAAGATTTGGCTTAGGGTGTTGTCTGAACAAGGACTCCAAGATAAGCACTCTCTTCACTCAACACTAGCTGTAGCCAAGAACAAACCTTGGAAAACAGAATGTGCTAGCTATTACCCGACAGTAAAGTTAAATTGCAATTGGCTAATTTGCAGCCGGATCCTGTGCATGTTTAGTTCAAGGTAAGTCCCACTGAATCCACTTGGCTTTACTCCCAAATAAACATGCATACACAGGGTTTTGTCAAATAAGATTTATAGAATTTGCAAACTGGTTGCTGCCTATTTGATCAAGGTGGTTTACATCCCTTCCCCCAAAGGTAAACATTTAGAATGGGACTAGGCAGCCTACCAAGAGTCACACCAGTCTGAGGAAAGACTTGAGAAAACTCAACAGGACCTACAACTCTTTGAACTTCTGCCATAGATAAGACACACTGTTGTCTGGCTTCACCCCCTTGGATGAGCTGGACCCAAATAGGCAACACCATAAGAAGAACTATCAGGTGGGCAGGAAGGAGATAAAGACTCCATCTCATTTGGCTAGAAGCAGCAAGAATTTAACCAGTACTTGCTTGGATATCAAATTTGAGATTTACTTTCCCTAGTGAACTCACACTGGGGTTTAAATACTGTGGGGCATTGTTTAAGGAGAAAATGTTTGGGGAAAGACCATGACAGTTTGGTTTTCCATGCCCTATTCATTTTTAGAAGGGTGATTGAAATTTCAAGTATGAGTCTCTTCTATGTCCTCAAAACAGTAGAAACATTTCAAGGTCAACCTGATGGTATTTCTAGAACTAAAATACAGCTGTACCTCTGCTTACGTATCCCTCTGGATACGTAAACTTTGGGTTGCGAACGCAGCAAACCTGGAAATGTATACTTTGGGGTTTCACCACGTGCGCTTGCGCAGAAGCACTTTGCACACGTGCGCAGAAGGGTTCCTCCAGTTACAAAGTTTTCGGGATGCAGCTGGGCCTCCAGAATGGATGCCATTCGTAACTGGAGGTGCCACTGTACTGTTTGGGCACCAAGAATGCCCAGCAACAATACTGACAATAAATTTATCTGTATATCAATCCATCTATGTACTGTAAAGCAGGGTATAAGTTTAGTTGACAGGCAGGTGGTGGATTAAGGCTGCATCTGCACTATACTTTTAAAGCAGTACAATATTCTACCACTTTAAACAGTCATAGCTTCCCCCAATGAATCCTGGGCACCACAGTTTGCTAAGGGTACTAAGAGTAGGAGACCCCTAGTCCCTATGCAGAGCTACAATTCTCAGAGTGCTTTAACTGTCAATCCCTTTTTCCAGGAAACTGGAAAAAGCACAAGCTGGGAGACCCATTTTTTTCTTGATTTTCCCTACTGGGAATCAAGATCTAAATTGAGACCCATGCTGGGCCTTATCAGGTCCACAGCCTGGAGATTCCCACCCCTCTTTTAAACTGTGAAATCTACAGACAGAAAGAGGATATATTAAAATGTCATTAATGACAAAGCAAATTAATAAACTTCCACTGCTACATAAAAATGTCAAGTAACAGTGTTGTCTCTGTGTAGGATGTAGCTGTCAACAGCAAATAGCATATAACAGCATGTTTGCAAGATAGGCGCAGGCTGCTACTGGGCTATGTCCAAGTTGCTGGCGCTAATCTATAGGCTCCTATACAGCTCATAGCCAGGCTACTTTATAGACCAACTTATATACCCACTCACTGCAGTCTATGTGAGAGTTTTTCCTCTACAACTTCCAAAGACATCAGAAGCCCACTTCGCAGTAGCACAGAGCAGGGATTTTAGTGTGACTGCCCCTGTTCTTTGGACCAACATTCCTGTCAAATTATGGCAGGCCACCACCATCTGCGTTTTCCAGAAACAACCAAAGAACTGCAAACAACCGATGAAGGTTGCAGAAATTCATGCCCTGCTTGTGAGCTTACTGGAGACATTTTGCTGCTTCAAAAAAGTGTATTGGACTATACAAACCCACAAGGACACATCTTGATTTGCATTTATATTACAAAAGTCCCTCTTTCTAAACAGAAAATAAGCCGATCAAATGCACACATTGGGCAAAGGAATGGAGAAAGGAGAAGAGGCTTAAGGTTAATATATATCTACGCACTTGTCCTCTGCAGTTTTTGGTGAAGGGTTTTTTAGAAGCAGCTTTCTGCGTTGCTGGGCTTCTTCCAAGAGATGTTCATCTTTCGGAAATATTCCCACCATCAGGTCCATTGTAGTTTTTATTTTCGCATTTGGGTCCAGAATGTCCGCTAGCGACTTATCCTTGCCCACAATCTCTCTGGCCAGCTCTTCTGACTTCCAGTCTTCCATGGTCTTTTCTTTGGCCCTCACATAGCTGACTGCATGGGCAGAAGTATCACTGTCCTTTGTGTTGTTCCCAGGCGCTTCGGCGGGTTGCAAACAAGGGAGAAGGCTTTTGTTCTCAGGCTCTGGCTCCACCCCCTGCCTCGTGTAAGCACAGAAACGGGAGTAGGACTGTTCAGAAGTGCTGAGTGTTTTAATCTGGTCCTTCTCCAAGCCGCTTGGCAAAGCAGGAAGTTCAATGGTGCTCACAAGGTTCTGCCTACTTTCCTTCTCTGCGTGGCTCTCAGAATGTACAATCTTTATGGGAACCATCTTCACAGTTGTGTTGTTATCCATCACTCTTTCGATTCTTGAGAAAAGAGAAGAGCGTTAATGGCTCAAAATGGCCCATCACATTTAATTTGTGCAAGATATTTAGGGAACTATATAGGGACCAACAAATGTAAGGAGCAAACAACACATCAAAGTTTTACCCTTCCTTTCCTTTCAATTGGTTAGGCAGCAGGAAGCAGAGAGTAGGCATAAATGGACAGTTCTCTTGATGGAGGTATGTAGAAAGTGGAATACCCCAAGGATCAGTAATGGGACCTGTACTTTTCAAACAATCCCACATAACTTGGATGTTTGCCCCATTAACATTAAAATAAGTGAGCACAAGACTGCCAACTTTTCATTTGTTTGTAGGCATTCAATGCTTTGGGTATTTTAAGCCAGGTATGCCAGCACAGAAGATGACACAGCTGATAGACCACAGCAGCCATTCATAAATGGATTTGCGGTTTGCAAGCAGCATTACAACAGATATGATCTATTCTGATATATGCAGCATGTTGCTATAGCTACATTGATGCATATCACTTATTGGGCCATATTGTCAGTGCATATCTTGAAGATCAGAAATCTTGCCCAACGCTGGCACAGCACGGTCGTGTCCTTGAGACATATGTGATCTATGCGGCACTTATCTATTAATATAAGGTCACTATCTTTGCATGCAAATACTACAAATATAGCAAGGAATTAAACACAGTATGATAAATTTATTTCTCTACATTTTTTCAGTTTTGAATATTTAATCTAAATAAGAGTAAAGTTATGTGCTTGCCAGCATATTTTGCATTGAATGTTTGACAAATTAAATTGAATGTCTGACATTTGGTGACAGCAAACATTCACATGTGATGTTGACAATCCCAGACAAGTTTTGTGAATGTCTGAAAACTCAAGAGACACTGAAATTTACTCAATATGCATAGCTAAGAATAAAAAAGGATTGGACTGATAGCTCCATTTGAAAGATAAAATAAATAAGTTGCACGGTGTTTATTTGCAGATGATTTATGGGTGGCAGTACCCATGAATGAAGAGCCAGGTGAATGTGAAATATAGTTGTGCCTTGGAAGTCACACGGAATCCATTCCAGAAGTCCATTCGACTTCCATAACGTTGGGAAACCAAAGCACAGCTTCTGATTGGCTGCAGGAAGCTCCTGCAGCCAATTGGAAGCTGCAGAAGCCCCTTTGGACGTTCGGGTTCCAAAGAATGTTCGCAAACCGGAACAATCACTTTGGGGGTTGTGCCATTCAGGAGCCATAACGTCCGAATACCAAGGCGTTCGGATCCAAGGTATGACTCTACAACATTCATTCATACAAAATTCCATAGGAGGAAATCAGTAGAGAAAAGTGGTCACAACCTGTTAGCATAAATTCACTGCTGCAGCTGAGCAGGCTACAGGTAACAATAATTAATTAAGGGCAATAATAATTTCAATGTAAATCTTAAGACAAGATGGTTAACAATTCATGTAAAACTGCCTTACCTTGTGGGATTCTCATCCTGAACAGCCACAGGAGGCTTATCCGTCAACTTCTGCGGAGCAAATTGTGGAGAAGGGGACCTTGAGTTCTCCATTCCAGGTTTCAAATGGTAGCGATAAGTTGAAGACAGGCCAGGTTCAGGTTTGAGGTGTGCTTTTTCTTCTAAGTGCTGGCAAACATTCTCGACGGGCACCGACTGGCGAGGCTCTGGCAGCTCAGTGCTTTTCAATTTTTCAAAAACCTTTACAGGAGTCTGAGAAGGAGACACGTTAACCTCAACCGCACCGGCAGCAATGGCAGAATGGGAATAAGCTGGCTTGCTGGGCGCTGTCAGTGAAGACTCTGAGGAAGCAGCAAGTGACGCTGAAGAATTGTCTTGTCGCCTGTATTTATTCTCTCGTTTTGAAGGGGAAGGCCTCTGGGGCACAGGCCCATGTTTCTTACTCAGCAGCGCTGGATCTTCCTGCAGGCTTCCCTCTGCTCTGACTTGTGGTGGGCAGAAGCAGTCCCCGTTGGATATTTGCAGCTCAGAAATAGCAAGAGGCAGTGCACTGTAATCTTTGTTTTTCTCCCTCACATTTTCCTGTGAGTATCTGTAATCACTGGGCAGTGTCCCAGATCTACCTCGGCTCCCCTGAGACGCAAGTGTAGCCTGTACTGCATGTGAGGGCCTAGCAGACACTTTCCATTTGTTTCCTAAGCTGTAATCCTGCTGAGTGGCAGGCTCTTCGGGACGGAATTCTGAGTACCCTGTGTCAGCTGGTCTAGAAAAACAAAGGGGAGAATCACAGTTGTTTAGCCATTCCCTGAGCATCACTACAAGTGTATCACGTACCTTCAAAGGCCAAAGATGATGATATACAGTGGTACCTCAGTTTTCAAGCATCTCAGGAGCCAAACGTTTCAGTTTTCATATGCCGAAAACCCAAAGGTAAATGCTTCAAACTTCAGAGGCGGCTTCCTGTTTGAGTTTTCTGTACGTTTTGAGGCTTCCTTATTGAGTTTTTGGTTTTCGAACATTTTAGAAGTCGAACGGTCTTCCGGAATGGATTATGTTCGAAAACCAAGGTACCACTGTACTTTCTTCAATTACTTATAAACAGCACCATGCTACTTATACAAAAGCTGCAAGAAAATATATGGTATTTCTAATAAAATCAAAGCACAGTGTCAGGGCACATTCAAGTTATGTTGTGCCATGCAAAGTGAGTTAACCCGGGGAGGTATACAACTAAGAAATACAGAATTCCCCCCTCATTTGCTTGTGGAGGTGGTTGCGTGTATAGAATTATGCACAAACTGCCTGGTTCTCGTTGATTAATGGGCTCAGTATCCAATTATATAATGATATTTAAAACAAATATTGCCATCTTCCCCCTTCCTTTTTTTTCTAGGGAAAAAAAACCGGACAGCTAGCCGAAAGGGTTGGATAAAGCAGAGAAAATGTAAGTATTGTGCAGAAGGAGGTAACAAGATATGGCAGCATTTGGGGCAGAAGACTAATTGACCTCAACAGAATGTTACTGTGGTTAAAGAGAGCCATTTGGGATGAGGCAGTAACCCCCGAGGTATGCTCTGGTTCACTGAAATGGATGAACAACAGGGGAGGGAGCTTTGTCTGAAGGAACAGCCCAAATGGAGGGGACTATTGAGGGCAAGCAGGGGCAAGAAAGAGACAGAAAAGGGGGCAGTTGACAAGGAGACAGTGCACAGTACAGGGGATGGAGAACTGGATGGAGGACTTGAGAAGGAAGGATTGGGCTCAGATGGAAGAGGAGATAGCAGAGGTGGAAGATTTGGAGGGTAATCAGTGGGAACAGGAGGTGCACCAAGGCCAAAGACAGCCAGGTCTGAGCATGTCTTATAGGACTGAATTGGACCTTTAAAAATGCACAGTATATGGTCAAATAGTGGTGTTTCTTCTTCTTCAAGAACTAAAGAATTAAAAGCAAGCAGAAGTACCTCTGAGAACCAGCAAGAAGGCAGGTTTGCTCTCTGATTAGAGAAGGCTGGAGAGATACTGTGAGAGCAGAAAAGAAGCTGAAACAGAAAAGCAGGAGTCTTTAGGAATTCTGCTTCTTATTTACAGAGCAAGTGCAATGGTCTACACAGTTTCACTTAATGAACTAAACACATATGTTGAAATTCTATGACTGTGGATGCTGAAGGAAATCTTACAGAAAGCCAGGATTTTACTTAAATCTGCCATCATTTAATTTAAAGCTAAATTATACAGGTCTATATTTATTGAATTAATGTCAGAACAACTCTTGCTGTTCTGGAAAGAATACTGGTTCATGGCACCCAGAAATAAGTGAAATAACTATAAACCATTATTACATATTAGTTAAAATATATGTTCAAGGATGCTGCTTGCATTACACTTTCCAAACACCTTAGCATTCCTATAAGACTCTGCATCTGAAAAATGCCTTCTCACAAAAGCAAACTCCAGATGATACTCTGGGTGACAATTTAAAATGTTTTTAATGCAGATAAGGCACATTAAAACATCCAAGTTACTTTTGGGATTATTCCAGCGTCATTTATGTGGGTTGCCTGTATATCCTCTAGCATGCTGTTAGCAATCACTCTGAAAATTAAAGAGAAATGCCAATTGCGGTGGCAACTAATATAAATGCATTAAAAAGATTTAGATTGATATGTGGATGATAGGAATATCAAGGGCTAGAGGGTGTGATATATCCTTAGCATGTCTGCTATTAACATCAAATTGCTTAAGGCAGGCTTAGGTATTGTGTTTAGCGCTGAATTTTCTGAATTACCTGTCTGGCTATTTAAGGTAAACAGTGTATCAACCAAGGTAGAACAGTGATCTAATTCATCACTTCTTACCTCCCTCAAAGAGCTTGCTATGCTTTTCTGGGAATGAGGCCAACATTTGAATCTATTTGAAACTAATATATATGTGAGATTGACAGATTTTATACGTTTATGTATTATTATATATATTATAATCCTTATATATTCATTAGCTGCATGATAGGGATGGGGAACCTGTGGCCCTCCTGATGTTATTGGACTTTAACCCTCATCATCTCTGCCATGCTTGCTGGGTCCTACAATATCTGGAAGGCAACAGATTTCCCACCGCTGATTGCATGTCTAAATCATTTTTTAAAATTTTATTTATATAGTTAGGTAAAAAGGATCTTAGTATGCTGCTTCAGCTTCCAAATGTTACATTATTTTACCCATCTTTCTGCTAAAGTGCACCTACCATAAGGTTACCATACGTCCCCGTTTCCCGGGGACAGTCCCCGGATTTACAAATCAGTGCCCTGACAAAATCCATTGAAGTTGAAAAGTGTCCCCGGATTCATGGGGAAAAAATCTGGTAACCTTAACCTACCATACATACTATCGTCCTCTTCATCCCAAAAATGCCTCAAAAATATACATTCTAAATAATTATTATAATGAAAGTTTGGTTACATTAGCATTTTGGGGAGTTGTTGTTATGGTCAGCACTGTTAAGACACCGACCAGGTAAAGGAGTCCTTCTTCATTCTGGTCAACAGTTGAGGATGCCGGCTGCCATTCTAAAGCACCCTTACATAAATGGCTTTTACAGAATCCAGCTTTCCAGATGCATCTGAACACCAGCTGAGGTGCCTGAAGCCACCCTGCTCTGGAAAGTGAATTAGAGGAGGGAGAGGCAGGTGGGTCTCCAGCGGAAAGGGAGTTCCTTGAGTGGAACTTCTATTCTAGTTATGGAAGCAAACTTAACGTAATTTGAAGAATTAAATATGGATGCTAAGGACCCTTGGTTGATGGAAGCCAATGGTCTGTCTGCCCATTAACTTCAAAAACAGAAGAATTTCACTCAAATGTAGGTTTATTTCATCTATAAGCCACCCCAAAGCATACTGAAGAAGAATGAAACTGAGACATCAGACGGACATTAAGTAATTGGTACAGAGTTATTATATGTTAGAAAATGGCCACTATGATGACACAAGGTGGGGTGTGTGTGTGTGTGTGTGTGTGTGTGTGTGTGTGTTGCAAGGGCTTGTCTGCTGCAAATACCCCAGGGGGTAGGTTGCACTGTGCCTATGTTCTCTGCACAGAGATATGCATTGGGATTCCCTGTAGGATTCCTTGTCAGCCTGGCACTGCTTTTGTCATGGTGACATTAATATATTAAATCAAGTGGTAGGAGATATACAAAGGGAGCTAGAAAATGGAAGTGACCTGTGCTGTACTCCTATTGAAATGGCTGATAGAAAACTTTTTTTTAAAAAAGGCATTAGTATACATTCATTTTGTTATTATATTGTTTGAGATGCACCAAGGCAGACAAATTCTCATAGTTTTTTAATTGCACGTTTGAATGCGTGTTCATGCAAGGAAGATGAAAACAGGAAACCGGAGAGGTATTTCAACATTGAAAAGAAAGACACTCTGCATCTCGGCATGCAAATTTGAGAAGGGCCTGTAAGGAAGCCAAAACCGACAATATGTACGACTGACATGGCATGCTTGAACAAGAGTTTCAGTCTCCGATACAACTTCTTTAAGGATCCTTTTGGCTTCTAGCACAGTTGTAGAAGTAGCAAAATGAATACAACAACGTTGTAATTCGGATGACCTTACGAGATTTTCTGCTTGGCACCAACAGAATACTGTTCAGAGCACCAAGTAATTTCTGCAGAAGTGGCTGACCATTAGGGCTATAAGGAAAATCTAACCAAATTCAACACAAAGGGGTTTACACATCCAGGGTGGTGGTTTCTCATGCAACACATGCCAAGCATATTACCCCTGAAGAGACTGGATCTTACTGTTCAGAAAGGAGAAAAGAAAGAAAGCTTCAAGCAGCAGAAGAACCCAGAGGCAAAACCTGCAAAGTGTGACAGCAGAGTTAAGTATCAAGAAGTCCATACTGGGGTGGAGGGACCTACTATTACAATGTCCATGACTTTGCAGAACAAACACACGCAAGAAACGTGATTCAGAATGCTTCGTGTATCGAGGTCACATCTGAACAAAGGGAACAATTCCCATTGAAGAATTCCCCTTCTATAAAAGATAACTTTATAGCCTATCAGTCCTATCTCCCTATTCCCCAACAGAATCCCGCCCCCCAGGCTTTTTTCACCTCCACAGGCATGCGTACACACAGGAATCACTTACTCCTGGAATTCTTCCGCTGGCTGTTTGGCCTAATAGTATCACAGAATTGTAGAGTTGGAGGGATCCTGAGGTTCGCATAGTTCAACACCCTGCAATGCAGGAATCTTTTGCCCAACATGGGGCTCAAACCCACGAACCGGAAGTTAAGAGTCTCCTGCTCGACCGCCTGAGCTTTCAGGTGTCCAGTGTTAATATTAAAATTCAAAACCAATGGCAATATTTCAGAGGCAATATTTTGAAAGCAGTGTTTATATCAAGGGGTATAAAGCAAAGCTGCACATCTCGCCTCCCACACTAATATGTTAATTATCATCAACATCAACACCACCACCACCAACATCATCTAGTGCTGCTTTGTGAAGTGGCTCTTATTTCATTATCCCAAGAAGGTATACACAGATTACTTTCCAGTTCTGAATCTAACTGCAAGTAGGCACAAATGGGCCCAGGATGGTAATTTAAGTACAGTGGAACCTCGGGTTACGAATGTGATCTGTGCAGGAGGCACGTTCGAAACCCGCAGTGCCGCGCCTGTGCACGCGCAGGTCATGATTTAACGCTTCTATGCATGCGCGAGTGCCGAAACCCGGAACTAACCCGTTCCGGTACTTCCGGGTTTGGCGCGGTGCGCAACCTGAACCGTCTGTAAACCAAGGTACTACTGTACTAATGGCTTCATTTTTGTATAAGTATTCTACGGCATACACATTTGTGTGTATGCGTGTGTATAGATAGATAGATAGATAGATAGATAGATAGATAATTAAATATTTTCTTTGGTTACAAAAGTACATGCATTGTCTCTTTTCTCAGGTCACAGAATCATTTCTACTGATCAGTTACATTCAATGTGAGACTTTAATGTTGTATACAGTATATAGTTGGGAGAGAAGAGAAGTGGGGAGAGGGGGTATTAAATCTTACATTATTTTACTTAATGTACGTGTGGGGGTTTTGTGTCAGTGTCACTTGGTTAGGTTGTCTTTCTATTCATTTATTATTTTTCCTTGGTAGTGAGCGAGGTGGGTGGGGGCAGGGCATGGTTGGTTGTCTTTAGTTGACTGAGGTAGGATTTGTTTGGGTGTGTGAGGGGACAACGACTGTTAGGTCAAGTTAGCCATATTGATTTGTATGATGTTGGTAGGTTTTTATTGTTGTCTTGTTGGGCTGTGTATGTAATAAAGCATTATTGAAAGTGTTTGTGTTTAACTTGTATTGGATAGCCTCTTTTCCCCCTCCCCTCCGGTTACACTGTAATGGCTATTGACTAAAAGCAATAAAAATCGGATTGACTTGACTATGGGCCATTATTTGTGGCGCTGTAAAAAAATAATTCAGAGATACTCTTAAGGATTCCTCCCAAAGCTGTATAATAACGTTCCATGCAGTAACAGTCAGGCTCTGTAGGGATACATCTAAATTGTGCATTGTTCTTCCTCCTAATCCCTGTTCTGCTGAAAACCTCTTAATGCTCACCCAGTTTGACATGAGCACAGACTGAAAGCACATGATGTAACCATACTGAAGCTAAGCAAATCTGTGTCTACCCAGTGCCTTAATGGGAAGGCATCTGAAACCCTATGCACACCACTTTTGAGTTTTATAGTGGGGGAAAACACATATATCCGAATGCTGTTGTTTATTTGGCTGTATGGGCTACACATAGTTAGAAATCATAAAGGTGTGTATGTAGCCGATACAGCCAAATAAACAACAGCATTCAGGTACACAGATATGAATATATATCCTTACTAGTCTAAGATACTAAACAGATACTAAGATACTAAACACGTAATAACTCCTAGCTAAGTTTGTAAACTCCATTGAAGGGCATTGTGTTCAGGTTAAATACACACAGGCATATATTGAGGTATGTGCAAGCC